GTAGTATCAGCACAACCGACCCCATGTGCTAGTAAGTGCCTAGCCTAACCTTGGCGAAGTAGTGACGAGGCTAGGACCAGACTACCAAAAAAACCTGTGTAGTTAAATCATATACAGCGGAAAATAAAAGCAGGAATGTACAATTAAGGATGGGAGGGGGAAACATGCTGCGGGGAAACATCGAATGATAACAGAAGGACAACAAGTAAGTATAAGGAACACCATAACTCAATTATCAACAAGAATCAGAAATTAAACAAGTGCAACGCATCACCTTTTGTGCTTTTATTCTCGTCCTCACCATTAGAATCAATATAATCTGCACGACATCACCCTTTGTGCTTTTACTCTCATCCTCACCATAAAAATTAATATAATCGGCACGGTATTGTACATTGTGCGGCACAGCATCACCCTTCGTGCTTTAACACTCTTCCTCACCAAAACAACAATCACAAGCAATAAGGGTAAGGAAATAAATAAAATTACAATAAAATGCCTGCAAGGGAACAATAGTACAACAATCAAATCCCGGCAAGGGAACAATATCAAAAGCATCAACATCCCGGCAAGGGAGATAACATTAAAAGCAACAACATCCCGGCAAGGGAGAAAATATAATAATCCTCTTCTCTTTTTCACATTTACTTCACAACTCACTTCACAACTTGAGCCAATAATCTATAAGGTTCAATTGCCAATTATACTTCCACAAGTCATTTTACAACTTGAGCCAATGCTCTTCAATATTCAAATACCAATATTACTTCCACAAACTTTGCTCAACAATAGAAATCATAACATAAGGCATACAGTACAAACGGAGTCACATTAATCATAGAATAAGGTCCACGGGCATGCTTGATACCAACGTATAGATACTCGTCACCATGTCTATACGTCGTACTCAAAATAACACATAGAAAATAGGACACAACTCCTAATCCCTCAAGCTAAGGTTAGACCAAACACTTACCTCAAACTTCCACGGCCAACTCAAGCCTCAAACACCGCTTTTCCTTTAGAATTCACCTCCAATTTACTTGTATCTAGTCCAAATTAATTTAATAACATCAATAAATGCTAAATAATTCAATCCCAATGCTAAGTTATAGGTTTTCTATCATTCTTCCCAAAAGTCAAAAATCGACCCCGGTCCCGCTTGGTCAAAATACGAGGTTCGGACCAAAACCCGATCACTCATTCACCCACGAGCCCGAATACATAATTAGTTTCGGAATTCCACCCCAAAACGAGGTCTAAATTCCAATTATTCAAAAAGCCCTAACTCTACCCAAATTCCCAATTTTCTACCCTTAAGAACATGATTTAGGCCTAGAAATCTAATGGGTGTTAATGAAAATTTAAGAAAACAAGTCTAAGAACACATACCTATGGTTTTCTGGTGAAATTCCCCTTCAGAAGTCGCTCGAGTTTGAGTTTAAGTGAAAAAATTTTGAAGTTTGAAGAAATCCCGTTTTCCTACAGTTTTTAAAAGATTGGGCATTTATTCATTACGTTCGCGTGCCTTTGGCCGCGTTCGCATAGGGTTACAACTACCCAGCCCCCAGCCCATCTCCTATTCCATGCGTTCGCGACAGCCCGGGTGCATTCGCGTAAAGTGAACTCCTAAGGCTCCGCGTTCGCACCTAGTTCTATGTGATCGCATAGTGCAAACCTGCCCCCTCCCAATTTGTGATGTGCGTTCACGTGGGTTACCACACGTTCGCATAGTGCAAAAATTCAGACACTAGCAAACAACAAAAACATCAGATTTTCTAAGTTCGAATCACCCTGAAGCCTATCCGAAACTCACCCGAGCCCTCGGGGCTCCAAACTAAATATGTACACTACCTCAAAAATATCCTACGGACTTACTTGTGCGATCAAATCGCCAAAATAACATCTTAAACAACAAATTTACCATAGAAATAAAGGAAAAATCTCAAAACTTCCAAAGTATCAAATTTCACAATTACGGGTCCAAATCACATCAAACCACTTCCATTTCTTACCAAATTTTACAGGCTCAACATAAATCACATATAAGACCTGTACCGGGCTCCGGAACCAAAATATGGTCCCGATACTATCAAATTCCACACACATTTCATTTCCAAAAAGTCATATTTATTCCAGAAAAATAATTTTCTTTTAAAATTCATTTCTCGGGCTTGGGACCTCGGAATTTGATTCCGGGCATACGCCCAAGTCCCATATTTTCCTACGAACCCTTCAGGACCGTCAAATCACGGGTTTAGGTCCGTTTACCAAAAATCTTGACTAAAGTCAACTTAAATTTATTTTAAAAGCAAATTTTTATCGTTTTTCCTAGATTTTCACATAATGGCTTTCCAGATATGCACCCGGACTGCTCACGTAAATCAAATTGAGACAGAAAGAGGTTTTAAGGCCTCGAAATACATAATTTATTTTTTAAAATAAGTGATGACCTTTTGGGTCATCACATTTGTATGAGGTGATCCTTTGATTTGCATGAGGGACTAAAATTGGGAAATCGAATTTCCAATGGCATTCACTTCGCACAAGAGAAATCAAACCATCAGTAATCTGGGAAGGGTAAATATCAGCACGATCATGGGAAGTCATAAATGTAACTTGATTTCTAATTGATTCTCGATCAGTAGAGAAGGAGAGTTCAGCGTGACAATCTCGTCAACAGTGGGTTCTCGAAGAGGTTCGCCAGAATCCCTACTTCTAGCAGAAGATCTATGAGAAGAAGAAGCCCTAGTTCTAGAGAACGAAGGGGTAGTAACACGAGGTTGAGAAGAAGAACCATGAGTAGATACAGACCCTAAACTACGTAATCTACTACCTCTTCTACTTCTGATAAGAGCAGATGAAGGGGGGAGTTCATCTACTATAACTACTCTACAAGGATCGGGATTTGGAGAAGATATGGTTGTATAAGAAAATAATATGACATGATGAACTAGAACTATTATGAAAGAAGAATACTGTAGATTGAAGGACGTTTTCGTGAAAACAAAGGTATAAGGACGTATTTATATAAAGAAGCAACCGTCATATAAAGGGGTTCATGATGGAAATGTCATAATGAAAACAGTCACTTCGTGACTGATGCAACCGTAGAAAAGCCCTAAAACCCGCTGAGGAGTTGCAGATCCAATCAATGTATGCCACATGTCACAGACATTAAATGGAAGTGACATACGACGTGTTGGTTATGAAGAAGACATAATGATACAAGAGAAACGACGGCAAAAAATTCCCGCCATAAATGTGATCCACTTCCCAAATATTAAATTGCTGAATAATTGGTAAGTGGGAGACTATCTGTATTGGTAAAATAAATATTACACGTGGATTTATATAAGTGGCTGATGTGGCAAGGCACGTGGATCATTAAGAAAGCGACAACTGGAGAGATGCACTAAAAGAGGCACGAGTTGTAATAGGTACGAGCAAATCGCCCACGAGATAAAAAGGTATAGCCGCTAGAGTCTGAATTGCTATATGAAGAGACGTCGTCATAATGAATCAAGACAGTAAAGAAGGAAGATTCATGAATCGCTAATTAATGCGCATGAATGATCATAGACGTTACACAATCTTCATATATAGTTATGATTGCCAATTATAACGTCTCATTAATATTCATAATGATTCAGTCATAAAAGTGAAGAGACGTTGCACTTATAGATTCCTATATAAGGGAAGGAGATTTTACTTGTAAAGACACGTTCTGATTATCATTGGAATACAATTACTTACTTTTGTTTTCTATTGATTGCTTTGCTATTTCATATTCTAATTTCTTTCTTATCACTGAGAAAATATAGAATTTCTTGATTATCAGTAACCCGAGTACTTCTAAAAATAAACTTTGACTGAATTACACAATTTTTGGTTAAACAGTACTGTTGGCCCAAAAGATCAGATTGAGATGAAACTACCAAATCCTGTGTTACCGTTAATTAACATCCACGCGACTGTAATTAGGAGTACTCCTGTAATTAGCTAGTCACACTTATAGAAATGAAACTGATTTCACCTGTTTTTTTTTTTTTTGGTGGTTACTTCTTACTCTCGGTATTTAATGCCAAGGTCCTGGGCGAAATTATTTTAATCTACAATGTGCTTGCAACAGAATTGGCTTCCTTTTCTTTTCTTTTAAATTTTTTTTTAAAATTTCTTCAATGCTTCTTAAGCAATAAACTCTTTTGCCGTAATTAACTGGCCTTAATCCTTAAAAAAAAAATTAGAGTGGAAATTGAGAGATTCTCTTTCTTTAGGTAAGATGTAATTATTAGTAAGATGNGTTACTTCTTACTCTCGGTATTTAAATGCCAAGGTCCTGGGCGAAATTATTTTAATCTACAATGTGCTTGCAACAGAATTGGCTTCCTTTTCTTTTCTTTTAAATTTTTTTTTAAAATTTCTTCAATGCTTCTTAAGCAATAAACTCTTTTGCCGTAATTAACTGGCCTTAATCCTTAAAAAAAAAATTAGAGTGGAAATTGAGAGATTCTCTTTCTTTAGGTAAGATGTAATTATTAGTAAGATGAGCTTTTGATAAACATGCAATATTCTCTCTCTTTTTTCTCATTTTTGCAACGGCAAGTTCAATCCATGTTAAAAGAATTCAATGTATTGTGTGATGACAAATTTTTTCGACATCTACTTGGCTAAATATGACTATCAAACTGCTTGCTTAGGGAAAAATGTAATATAACAAGAGTTTAGTACTTATAAATACTCAGTAGTTCACATAGAAGTACATGTAATTTACCCGTAACAAACAGAATTTGTAAATTAAGACTAGTACAAAACATTTTAAAGAAGCTAAATCGCATCGTTGTGTGACAATTTTATTACATGGCTAGTAAATATAAGTCAAATTCACATATATATAGCAATGACGTAAATTACGGGACAGTAGGGGTGCTTAGGATGAAATTCGGCTCAGTTTTCTCGAAGAACACTTGACATATAGCTGAGGATGAAATGAAGTTAAATTAAGCAGCAAACAATGGAGACACGTCCACCCCAAACATCATGTGAGAAATCACCCCAATCCCAATTGTTTTCACCAGCTTAAACATCACTTTCCCAATCCGTCTACCACCTCCCCCTTGCTGAAGCTGAGCCTGGCCATGACTCTGATGCTGTGCCATATAGTTATTGTGCATGTTCGATGAACTAGGAAAACTTGGATTAGGAGGACTCCGATATGAACTAAATCCATTAGCATGACCACTAAGATACTGTTGCTGAGGGAATACAGACGGTGGAATAGCATGACCATTACGTTTAATGGTTGCATAATTAAACATAACTACTAAGTCGTGATGAGGTGGCGTAATTATATATACAATAGTATTAAGTTGTGATCCACATGATAGAGTCTGTGGATTACACTTATCGTTTGTTTTTTGTCTTTTATTTTAATTGGTTTAGTTGATACTAAAGAACTAGTAAAGTATAGTATATATACATATGGCAGAGGCTAGAGCCAGAATTTGAAACTTAGGTGTTCAAGATTCTAGCCCATTTAAGTTACTTGGTTCAACTTGAATAATTTGTAAATATTCAATATATTTTTTAAGAAAAATACAAGGTTTCGATAAAAGCTACTGAGTTATGTTGAACCCGTGACCTAAACTCTAGCTACGACTTTGAAGGGAAGACAAGGAGGAAAAGAGCCAGGAGGAGGGAAAGGGATGAAGGTGATATGTTCAAACGTTATTTGATGTGTTAATCATGTTAAAGCAATTGAGAAACACGCATTAGTTACCTGATGTAGGGCATGACGCAGTGTTCGAGGCAACTGAGTACAAAGAGGGTGGACGTCGAAATTGCAACGATTACACCTATAGAAAATGCCTTCAACAGGATCGCAGCAAACATCGCAGAAGCCGACGAGTTCGCTGTCGGCTTGCGGCTCGAGGATAGTGAGCTTAAGTTGATGAGAATGCATGAAAGAAGAAAGAAAAGGTGGACATAATCCACAGTATTCATGCAGGTCAAAGTTGCAGCCATGGCAGCAATATCTTTTCCCTATACCAGGCATGTAGCAACCATCACATTCATATTCAGTGTTGGAATTATATATTGTTAACAAATGTTCAGGATGTGCAAAATGTTGTAGCAACATGTCCTCTGGGAGAGATGCCATCTCTGATTTTCTCTCAAGAACTTTTATAATTGGAACTTAATTTGGTAATGATGGAACTATAAAGGGCAAGAAAATAACGGAAGAATTTATAGGGATTTTGCTCCAAAGTCTTTCACTTGTTTTCTGTTTTCAATATTTAATAGTATATCAACTAGCTAGAGAGTTATCTTATTAATACTTCTTTAATTAATACTGACCTGGACGCCTCCTAATACTTAATCAAGAGACGACTTGGATGATTTCTATGGTTGACAAGTTGTTCAATTTTTTTTATTTGAATTTTGCTACTTAAAATTTTTTTTTATTAAATTAAATTTTCAGGTTGAGTGAGGTGTTGTTTTTTATAACTTTAACATTACAGGAGGTGATGTAGGCCTTACCTCCAAAAATACAAAACAAAGGATAGAAATTATCCTTAAAAAAATACAGGAGGTGAAGCATTTATTTGCACCCCTATCAAAAAGGACCAAAAAGAGTACTTAACTTACAAACTTTTTCACCTTATCATATTAATACAAGGCATTTGGCATTAGTCCAATTCAATGGTCGCTTGAAGGGAGCCTTGACGTAACTGGTAAAGTTGCTGCCATGTGACTAGGAGGTCACGAGTTCGAGCCGTGAAAACAACCTCTTGCAGAAATGCAGGGTAAGGTTGCGTACACTAGAGACCCTTGTGGTGCGGCCCTTTCACATACCCCGAGTATAGCGGGAGCTTAGTGCATCAGGCTGCCAATTGAATGGTCCTTTGACCCCCTTTAGGGAGTTGTTGGAAGGACAGATATACAATAGCCTCATAATTAGACGTAACAAACTAAACAAGATACAATCAAACCTCTCTATATCAACTGCGTTTGTTCCGATATTTTTTGATTATAGTGAAGTGCTGTTATAAAGGACATATATTATAACATAATATAAAAGATTGATTCCGAGAAAATTTAACTTTTATAGTGAATGACTGTTATAAAAGGATGGTGTTATAGAGAGATTTGACTGTATATAATCTGCCACCTGATTTGCCTTCCTGAAACAGTGCATAGCATTAATATGGAAATGGTTCATCACTTGTGTAGCGGCCTCAATGATTTCATTCATCTTGTAGTTATTTACCCTCCTATCCTGAAACATATTAGCAACTAAAACGGGAGTCCAGTTCAGAGCTGAAGTCTGCAAAATCATTCTACACACACCAATTGATACTGTTTTTTTATTTTCTTCCAAATTTGTATACATCAACTAGAGAGCTACTCTATTAGTATTTCATTAATACTGTCTTGGACGCTTCCTAATACTTAATTAAAAGACGACTTGGATGATTTCTATGGTAACAAACAAGTTGTTCAAGTTCTTATTTTATTTTATTAAGTTTGGCACTTAAAGATTCTCAAAGGACTAGTGATGCTACATGTATTAGAAGTTTATTTCTTTTATTGTCAACGTTCATCTCAAAAGTAATCTCATGATACATTAATCAACTTTTCCATAAATAACTTTCGCCTAATCCTACAAAAGAACTTCTACATTTCTATGTGAGACAGTAGAAAATAATCGCTAACTCGATAAGCTTTATATAATGGTCAAGTGCAGAACACATAAACTTTAAAAATTCATATTCTAAATGGAAATTCAATTTAAATTGTCAAATAAATATCCCTAATAAGTTCAATGAACCAACCAAGATTTTCATTATCTTGAGCAAAGGGATTTGGAATAGATGGAGATTGGAAAAAACTCGTACAAGCAAATATATGAGTTATTGCACCCTGAGCCACTTGATCCAAATCACCATTGGATTCCAAGGTTTGAGTAAAATTCTGGAAATCTAATCTCAAACGTATATACTGATGAAGACACTTCCTGTAAATTTGCTTATATTCTGGATTTGTTTCATTTGCAGTTATTGTCCAAGCCTTCCTTGCAATATTTGTGAAGTTTGAATATGCCAATCTAATTGTAACATTTTCAAGATCGATCTTAGTTGTTGCCAATTGAGCCTCTGGATCATTTTCCATAACATTATAGCAAAACTCTCTAACCATAGAGAAATCACAAGCCCTTTGAATTAATGGGGTGACAGCATTTGCTCTTAAATTTGCACCATAGAAATCAACACTTAATAGAAAAATGTAGGGGAGGAGGAAGATTAGTGAGATTGAAGAAGAAGAAGAAGAAGAAGTTGTTGATCTCCCCATTTTTTTCTTCTTTGATCTATCCTAATTTCCTTGTTTGAGATTGATTATAAATATGGGTTGGTGTGATATATAAAAAGCAAAAACTTAATTAGTAATAATCCAGTGTGGAAATTATCCAGAAAAGTTAAAATTATACTATTAATGTTTTTACCTATTACAAACTGAAATATCTGATTCCTATTTAATATGGGATTATGATATTCTAAATTTTCCTCCATTGTAATATTCAACATCTTAAATTGATATATATTGATATATGCGCATTTAATTTCATACTTAAAAAAGGATATATATGCAAAGCTCAAATAAAATATTCTCAAATTGTCCTAATTTAAGAGGCTGATGATCTTGTATACAATCAATAAGATTCTAAAACACATAAAGAATGGATGCATTTACTTAATTTCCCATTGCCATACATAATCCTCATTTATATTATGCCATGGACTCCTTTTTCCATATCTTTCTAGCAAGTTTTCCAAATTCAAGACGATTGCCTAATTTGGAATAAAATTAATTTCATGAGTGATATTTCAACTTTAAATTTATTGTACTAAAGTCATAGTACAATGCAAACGAAAAGAATACTCAACCATATATCACAAACGGTAAAATGCAAAAATCGATCATACAAATGATAAAACACACAAGAGGTTAAATTGAGTGTTTGCTAATTTTTCAAACTCTTTTGATGAATTCTTATATCTTTGGTACTCCATCCGTTTCAGTTTATGTGAACTTTTTGCTTTTTGAGAGTCAATTACTATAAGTTGCATTCTTCTCGCGTGCTAATGAAAAATACATTTCAAAATCTTGATAGAAGTTTGCAAATCTTGAATCTCGAAAAATGAAAAGATTCACATAAATTGCAACAGATGGAGTAGTTGAAGTTAAACACTAAACAATCAAAGGTTAGGTAGTAGGACCAAAAATTAGTAAGCAAATATGTAGAGATAAGTAGTTGATGTTGTTGTACAGTTAACTATTTAAGGTGTACTCTTCTAGATAGCCCACCTGGTAAGTTAGCACGTGTGTATATTAGTTAGCTGGCAGCTGTTAGTTAGTGTGATATATTAGTTTACACATACTCCTCTTTGTACAGATTCTAACATTCCAATTAATGAGAATTTCCTTTCTCTCTCTAGAACCTTCTTCACTATTGATCATCAGGGCTTCTCTCGTATAGCTCGAAGCTCTCTAATGGCGGATCTGGGGTTGGTTTTAACATGGTATCAGAGATGCAGTTCTCGGCGATTCTGAGTGACGAGCTTCTGGATTGTTTCGATCTTCTAATATCCTTCTTCTCTTCTTCGATTTCACTCAATTTTGTGTTGATTTTTTTCTCAGTTCCTCATCTTTTCTCAAGTTTAACTTTTTAAATCTCAAATCTTCAGAAATTAACTATAATGGCGAGCAATACAGTGGAAACTACATCAGGATCCTCACATGTGAACAGTCAGCACATCGATTGCAATGATCCTCTGTATGCACATCCCTCCAACACACTCGATTTGCAAATTGTCCCACAATTGCTTATCGAAACTGAAAATTATTCGGAACGGGGTCGATCTATGAAGATGTCACTCCTTGGGAAGAATAAATTAGGGTTTATTGATGGAATATGCACCAGAGATTTGTACGAAAAAGATGTTTTCCAATTGCGTTAGTGGGACCGATGCAATGTGTTTGTTCAATCGTGGATCATGAGCTCGGTGGCGAAGGAGCTTAGAAAGGGAATTGTCTTCTCCTCAAACTCACAAAAGGTCTAGAATGTGTTGATGTCACGCCCCGAACCTGGACCTGGACGTAACACGACACTTGGTGCCTGACTAAATGTGACCAAGCGAACCAACTGACTAGCTGAATCAATATGTGATATCATAACATACTGAATGCGGAAGATAAACTAACACATGCTGATATACTGAAAGTTTGGATGATATAAATCAAAGTACGGAGATACTAATACAATTCTGAAATATATTTGCAGCCAACATAGCTTAACATGAAAAGTCTGAGGCTCTGTCTAACTGTTACTCTAGTCTATGAAGCCTCTAATGAAGTACTGAAAACACTGACTGTCTGAAAGTACTGAAGACTGTAAGGTAATGATAATGCCCCGAAAGAACTAGGGATCACCAAATAACTGGTACAAGAATCCTAGCACTCTGAATCATCACCCTATAAATCATTACCTGCATCGTGAGATGCACGCCCCGGGCAAAAAGGGATGTCGATACATTTGAATTGCAATGGTATGTAAAGCAACTAAAAGAAAGAGATATAAATGCAGAAAATAATAGTGAGCTGATAACTACGAATTGATAATTGATAACTAAAATTATAATTGTTGAAACTAAAACTGAAATGACAACCGATAGCTGATAACTGATAACTAAGATAATAATTGATAACTAAAATGATCGTTGATAACTGAACCGAACAAAGGAATTAAGGATATGAATACTACCTCTTCTGAATGATGAACAACCTATTTATCTGAATATTAAACTGCGGCCTCAGGCCTAATATATATGTGCACAAACTGCGGCCTCGGGCCCAAGTATACGTATACATAACTGTGGCCTCAGGCCCAAAGATGCATAAAGCATAACTGCGGCCTCAGGCCCAAATATGCATAAAACATTAACTGCAGCCTCAGGCCCAAATACAGGTGTTCAACATTTAGGAATTTGAAATCAGGAACTGAGAATCATACTACAATACATGATACTGAAATGCTGAATCACACTGAGTTACATAATACTGGAATGCTGAATAGGACTAGACTGAGACATGTATTCTTAA